ATTGTTGCAGCTTTCAGAGATATTAATCCTAGGAAAGCTCTAGGTATTGACGGTCTCCCTACTAGTTTTTATCCGTTACATTGGGATCTTGTTTCTGAGAAGAGGATTGAGGCAAGGTGACCCTCTTTCTTTGTTTCTTTTCCTTTTTTTGTACTCAAGGTTTATCTACCTTGTTACACAGGTTGCAAGATCAGAGGTGGATCAGGGGTATTAGTGCTAGCCGGAATGGGTCTAAGGTTACTCATCTGTTTTTTGCTGATGACAATATAATTTTCCTTAAAATTTCTGTTCAGGAAGTTGAACGGATCAAGGAAGCTTTGTGTATTTATGAGGCGTCGTCCGGACAAAAGTGAATCATGGGAAATATGTTCTTTATTTCAGTCCTAGCACGATTCAGTCTTGTCGACATCAGTTATAATCCATTTTAGGTGTTGGTGAAGTGGAGGATCTTGGCCATTATTGAGGCACGCCAATTTATATTGGGAAGAATAAGACAAATACCTTTGGTTACCTCAAGGAAAGGGTGCATAATATGATTGATGGTTGGACTAAACAACTTCTCTCTTATGGTGGTCGGGAGATGTTCATTAAAGCTGTGGCACAAGCTTTACCGCAGTATGTGATGTCGTGCTATCTGTTACATGAGTGCTTGGTTAATGACATGACAAGTGCTATGAGACCCTACTGGTGGTCTAGGGATGTTGATAAACGTGGATGATCGTTGGTTGCATGGAAGACTCTGTAAACCTAAGCATGTTGGTGAGCTAGGATTCCAGGATCTTCATAGTCTCAACATGGCGCTCTTGGGCAAACAATTATGACGTTTTATCAAAGAACCTGATAATCTGGTAGCGAGGGTGCTATAAGCGAAGTATTTTTCGAGTGGGGATATATTGAATGATTCTCTTAAGGATAAGAGCTCGTTTGCTTAGAAAGGTCTTCATAAGACTCTCGTAGGGATTATTCTGGAGAGTTGGTATTGGGAGTCATGATCGGATACATCATGACATGTGGGGGGTCTAAAGCTATTTGTTTAACATGGAGTTACATTTTATTTTAATCTAATCCTATTTATTGTCATGAATTTATGTTGTCTGGAACTAATATTTGTAATGAACCTTTAATTCGCAGGGTCTTTACTGTTGTTGATGTTAATCAGGTACTGGTTGTTCTCATTACCCCTTGTAATGAGGATATGATTGTTTGGGGCAATCACAATTCTGGCATGTATTCTATTCGGTCTGGTTATTGGTGGTTGCAACGGAGTGCCCATGATATTGAGCGTCAACCTAATATTTGGTCGGTCATTGCAAAGATTCAATTACTCCCAAAAAAAATGTATTTTCGCATGGTATGTAGCTCATAACGCCTTGTTTGTGTTGGTAGACTCCAAAATTGTCGGATTGATTAATGGAATTTGTCTGATTTGTTATGCTACTGAAGAAACAACGTTGCATGCAGTTTGTTGTTGTCCTCGAACTCAAGAGATCTTTCGTCTTGCTGATATTCCTGTTAGTGTTGCTCTTAGTATTGTAGTTGATCCTTTGGTTTGGTTGGAGTCTTGATTTTTTTTGATGTGATGATTTTGTTGTTTTATTGGTTATTTTATGGAATATCTAGAATAATAGAAATTCATTTTTCAATAATAACAAGCTGTATGCGCCTTGGATTTTGGTTTCGAATGCAAGAATTGTTCACCAAGAGTACTTGAGTTCGACTGCAAAGGAGACGGACGTATAAATGTTCATGGGAGGACCACTAGAGGTATGATTCCGAAGATGAATAGTAGTAGATGACGAACACCGGTTGCGAGATAATAAAATTTAATACGGATGAGGTCTTTGATGATAATTGTTGCATTGCTGCGTTGGTGTTAAAGCTTGTGATTGGAAAGAACATGTTATTGGCGGTCTTGCTCAAACATCTATTGGTTGCTTTGAAGTTGGATTTGCGGAACTTCATACACTTCTTGCTGGTTTACGACTTGCATGTGATAAAGGGTGGGAGGATGTTCAATTTGAAATTGATTCGTTGATGCTTGTGCACAAAATCACTAGGCTCATGCACAGAACATTTCTACGTTTGGTCTTTTTGTAAGGGAACTTCGTGCTATTTTCCAATCTAAGACTAGATTCCATATTACCTTTGCTCCTTGAAGACACTTAATTTCATCCATGCTCGTTTAATTAATATTATATATATATTTACATTATTATGACACATATATTTATTCATTTTTTTTTACATTATGACAGGCCCAAACATATAGCTTGTTTACAAATAAACAGCTCCAAAGCCCAGCAGAAACAAGTGGCCCAACAGACCTAGAGGACGCGACCCGAAAATCCACTGGAGCAGCCCGAACCCGCGAATCAGCCCACGACCCGAGCACTCAGATCGGTTAGGGTTTTTGAAACCCTAACCTCATCTCTCGTTCCAGCGCCGTTTTCCCCTTCAACAAGGACTCCCCACGGCCGCACGCTTCTCCTCCACATTTCACGCCAACAATCTCGAAGCATTTGCAACACCAACAACCCACAAAGATTACGAGTAACAAAGCATTAATGTTGTAATCATATTAGGACTCTAAAAATAGCGTATTTTACTACTATAAATCACATGTAACAACAGATGAAGTACACACAGAGATCCCATAGAGTTTACTACGAAAACACTAAGAAATACGCACAAACAAAGGCTTGTAGACATTCGTAATCAGAGAAATAAAAAGGGGTATTAGAATCCTTCAGAGGTGAGTTTCGGATCAATTGTTTACCTTTTTAATTAAACTACAATTTTCTTAATTTAAGACAACTGAAAATTACGTAGTACCGAAAGGGCAGTTCAAGGGTGCTAACCCTTCCTTGACTGTAACCGACTCCTGAATCCGACACATCTTTAGTGAGACGCAGATCAGGTAAGAAATAAGGTACCCGATCAACCCATTTATTTTAAAATAAATTATCGATGGCGACTCTTAATCCATTTTCCTAAGTCGAAGTCCAATTCGGGCCCAACCGAAAGGCGGTTTCGACACTCCTCATCCTTGTAATATTGTTGCTCACAAGTTAGTTAATTAGAACTACTGGTTCGTTATTTTTTGACTCGGTTTGTCCCGAGATAATTTCCGATGACATTAAGTATGATGTATTAGCTTCTTGATATATGGTAGTTGGGCACTCTTTTTTCCTTGGTAGGTTTAGAAGAGGTTTTTAACGAGGCTCATTATTAGTTTTGTTAAAAAAACTTAAACCGACTACATTATGATAATATTGTCTAAAAGTAATTTTGGCTAAGAAGTTCGTTTTGATCGAAAAATAAACGTCAAACGAGTAAAAATTGAAAAAAAAAATATAGTGAAAACAATGGTTTCAAAATAATTACGAAAGCCAGGATTTCTAACTTTTTTACATTTCTAACTTTGTGTTTGGAATCAAACTTATATTCTTACCCATATCAATGCAGGGCTCCACTCATTTGCCTTGGAAAAGAACTTTGGAATTTAATTTTCTTTATTAATTATGTATTTATATTTATTTCAATAATTTAAAATTAATATCTTTAAAAAATAATCTTTTACTTAATAATTTATTTTAATTACTTAAATGTAAATAAAATTTATGAATTATATATTAAAATATTAATAGTGAGTTATTATAAATTATATTTTTATTATGATTATAATTATATTTTTTATTTGTATTTTTATATTTTATTATTATTTTAATTGATATATTTTATTTATAATAATATTTTTTAAAAATTTATTTATAATATATATCTTTTCATTTTTAAATGGTTAAAAGGATAAATACATCATTTGAAATTATTTTATTTTAAATTTTAAATGAATGATTATAGTTAAATCAAAATAATTAAAATGATATTTTAAAATTTAATTATTATAAAACATTGATAATATAATTTTTATTGATAAAATATTTTATATAAAAATATTATTAATAAATTATCTTAAAAAAATTTATAGTTTAAGTTGACATATTTTATATATATCATAATATTAACAAGTGTAAATATAATTTAAATATTATATTTTTAATTTACCCCATAATATCTAAAATAAACGTTTTATCTTTAAAAAATAAATTTTGAACAACAATCTCAAACAATAAAATTTTAAACTGCAATTCCGAAAAAGCACTTTTAAAAATTATTTTTTACAACACTTATAAAATCACTTTTTCAATAACAATGCAAACTCACCATCAATGGTATACATTTCTCAGGTATCTTGCTATTCTCACGCCATCCCCCATCTTCATTCACACTTCTCTATTCGCACAATCAGTTCCTTCACTCTTTCCTTTCTTCCTTCCCACTATTCGACAACTGCAATGCATCAACCTAACCTACACCCTTACATCTTACCAGTTTCATAAAACTAAATCAAACTAGCAGCAAACCACAATAGAGAAAATTCAACAAAAAAACGAGGAAATAAAAATTAGCCCATGAAACTAATCATTTTGTTCCCGAGCTTTTGAATGATCAGATCCCCATTAGAAAATTTGAACGATTAAAGGTTGAGAAACAAGGAGAATAGCATAGCTTGAAACAAGGTTGACCTGACGATGAAAAATTTTAGATCGAATGTGGGATGATTTTTGAGTTAAAATGATGGATTCGAAAGGATTAGGGTTTGATTCAAGTGATGGTTCAACCATAAAACGAAAGGTTATTGGGGGTCGACAGCAAATAGAATTAGAATCAGTAGGCGAGGAAACTGGAAAATACAAGCGATAATCCTTGCGGAATTATAGGGACAGCAAGCTTTTGAAATTATCTCATGAAAATTAAAAAGGTTTAATAAACTTAAGTTCCGTGATTGAAGGCCTGATGTGATTCTGGCTCAAAATTCACCATCCAAACCTAATTGATACGATGAATCATGAATATGCTTTTCAAGTCTCAAAATCCCATTGACACGGACATATTAATGATTGTGCAGATTGCTTATATCGTAGAAAATGGCACATTCACTGCTATCAAAGGCCAGCTTGTTTGATATCATATCGAAACATCTTTATACAAACATGAGAAAATATCATACACGTAGGAAGCACATTGTTTACAAGTAACCATGTACTAGAAGCAAAGGGTCTTCCAAATTCTCATATAAAGCTTGCAGTTGTATCAAATACACCACACCAGTTACCTAGTAAGATAGTATATCACAAGGAAAACCACCACAAAAGATGCCACCAGCGTAAACATTCTCCTGCTTGATTTCGTCTCGAATGCCTGAAAGGCAGATCAAATTCATTGTCATGGCACGTACAATTGATGTATCGAACAGAGACTCGGATCCACACACGCTTATTAGAAGTTATGCAAAGACACAGAAAAGTTTGCTAGTTCACATACCATCTTAAACTTGTCCATGGTTCCTGAGAGTATTCCCCTCGATGAATCCATATCATTTCCCTAGTTGAAAACCATTTTGCATATATTACCATCGGCAGCGGAAAAAACCAATTCAATTTAGAAGATAGTCTTATTACTGCTGCATACATACCATACGATCCAGCATGCGATTGTGGCTATCCACCTCCTCGTGTATGTCGCCTGAAAGCTATAGAGATGACATGTATCAGAATATGCTTGCATTGATCAGGAAGTATTATATTATGATTTCCTAGAACATGGTAGTGAATCAGGATTCAACCTGAAAATGGACCCCAAAACATGTTCCACCCATAAAACCTGAATGATAGAAATGCCTGTAGTCGTATAGAACATAGATTTGTGCAATAGACTAATACTCTTTAAAAGAAATGAGTTTCAAGATTGAAATAGACAAAAAAAGGGAAGGGAAACGAATTGAAGAATGTAGAAGGATCCTTTTATTACAGGTAATTGCAAGATTGTAGAATCCCATTTATCCAGTTTCTCGACATCAACTGAAAAAAAACAATCTGCAACTCTAAGAACCTACAATTCATCATGTAGCTTACGGAAGCCAGCAAACAATGTGATTAATAATGGCATCAGCGGCAAAGATGATACTTACTCTCTTCAGCAGATTGACTCTGTCCTGCAATCCTTCCATTGCCCTTTCATTTTCATGCTCATCTATTTCGTGCGAGTAAGAAGACGAGGCTCTTATGCCACCTTCCTCGACGCCATCAAAAAGGGCAACTTTGTTGTTGCGCAAGTCCCTGCACGCATGCAGATCTCATTAGATTGCCAGAACAAACACAATGATAAATTCTTCAGCTGGTGGGTGGAACATATAAACCGAAGGCATAATCAAGATTAATAATCAAAGAGCATTCTAAAACTTGATTTATAATAATTAGATTGCAAGATCAGCTTTAACAGAGAAATTCAAGATCTTGATACAAGAACATCACAACAAATCTCAACACCTTCTTCGGATCACATGTGAATTATCCAGAAACATGTAAAATTTATATGGAATGGGAAAAATTAATTGGGTAAACTTATGAAATAACTGATCAGAAGCTAATTATTTACAAACAGGTCTAATCAAGCAATTTAACGCTACCAAACCATTGGGGTTACAAAAAGATCCGTAAAATAGAGATTCATCTGACCGTCTAGGATTCATCTTTCTCCGCAAATGGGAGTATCAAAGCCCCTCTTTATCTTCTTCGAAAGTATCAAAAGCAAAGACTTTCTTTACCCATCTGGGTCCTTTCAAAATCTGTACTAATTCAAGAATTGAACGGAATTAGTTCAAGAATTATTGATAACAAAAACTGGAGAACGAGAAAGCGAGAAAAAGGGTAATCGAAAAATGCAGATCTGCGAGAGAATAATTAAAAAGGAAGTGCGTTGAAACCGGAAAGATTACCTGGTAAGGCTACGGTAGAACCCACAAATTTGTTGAAGAAGAAAAATAATACTTAATCGGGAACCGAGATTGGACGTTGCAAGATTTACTGACAAAGCTTTCAATTGCTATGGAATCTGGGATCTTTTCTTTGTCAAGGGGATTGGGAAGATAAATATAAACTAGCAACGCACATGGGCTAAGAAAAGAAGCCCAACAAAAGAAGTTTCGTTGGTTGACACTTGACAGTGATATTATTATTAAGGTAAATTATATCTTATGGATGTGATTCCACTTTAGATAATATATTGTTTATATTACTAAGCTTTAATTAGTTTACACCTACGTTTTCTCCACTGTTTCTATTGTTCTTTTTCTGGGTCTTATATTTTGTTTTGCTTTTCTGAATTCTGGGAAATTTACTGTTGTTTTCGTTTGGATTTTTGTGGGAGTTTACAATATTTTTCTTTAAGGCTTTGGCCAACGACAATCACTGCTATATTCTTCTAAAGCACAATGTCTCAAATTTTTTTTGTCGTCATTTCTTGCCATTTACTTCAATTTTACTCATTAAATTATTGTGGATGCTTAAATCTTCAAACTTTTTTTTGGCTTATAGTTGTTTGTTTCCTGTATTAGATGTGGAACCATGTAGATTGTATACTGAGGAAAGCAAATTTCCAAGCTTGATTATTGATGCCAGCAATAGATTTTTACTTTTATCCGCACGTCATAAGGGATGAAGATGATTTAAGTCAAAGTTACAGAATTATGTTTGACCCGAAAATAAGTAATAAGGACCAGTTTCTGCTGTATTTAATTGTCTGGAGACTTATTTCTATTGTGTATATAGTAATCAGTTGCATTTACTCGCTCGCATCTAGTTGAATTTACCTGTCTGCTTGCTCTATCCATTTATTTTAAGCAGTCCCGATTTTTTTTTTCGTTGCGCATTGGTGTTCCCATGGTCAATTCAGAGACAATTTCTCATTGTAGGACTGATACTTAATTACCTATATTTTTCCTTGTTAGATACTGAAGGTTTTATGCTGTTTTCTTATGGGATCTTCCATTTGTAGGCTGTAGCTCTTTGCTATATTTCTGAGTTGCCTATGCAACACCTAGCTTGTAGCTGGACATTTTCCCCTTGTGCTGTACCATTATGCTGTTGGTGAATACCATTTTCATTTTGTACAACCTACCTTGCCGACACGTTCTGATAGTTAGATGTTATTCTAAGGTACAAAGAATACTGTTAAATTTTGAGAAAATGTTATCGACTGGTTCACCTCGTGGCTTCTGTGTTATAGTACCATGGGTGCGAGTAAGATGGCAATGTATTTTGTGCTGTTGCATGCAGAAGGTAGGGAGTTGGAGTCAACTTGCTCAATTATTGCTTTAAATTTTGTTCTTAAACTAATTTGCATGTATATATAATCCATGTGAGCAGTAATCTATAGTCCTTTTCTGGTTGAAATGTAGGTGAGATTGTTGGAAGCTCTTCAAGACATTGAAATAGCCTCAAGATTAGTAGGTTTTGATGCTGACAGTGATGACTCTATTGATGAAAAATATAAGGAACTCAAATGTGATATCACTCTCCTTCCTCAAGAATCATGATAGTGAAACTTTTCAGTTGATTGAGAAATATCTCCTTACCACTCATGCCCCTACTCATAATGTGAGTATGCAAATTTAGAAAGCTCCAACTTTGAACTGGTTATGGGCTTGTAACTTGTTTATTGTTTTTCCTCTCTCTCTCTCTCTCTCTCTCTCTCTCTCTCTCTCTCTCTGTGTGTGTGTGTAATGTAGGTTCAATTTGCAATATACAATTACTGCAACTATTTGTTACCTTCAGGAATGGACACATGAACTGGAAAAAGTATTCTCACTTGAAAGAGGAGGAAAATTTGATAAGTTTGCTCCTTACAGAGAAAAGCTTAGTAACAAAATGCTTCTGTGGCATGGTAAGTGGCTTTTTTATTTGCATAGGATATGAGTTCTCCACAAATTGCAACAAATAATTTGGGGCGATTTTCCTAATGTTACAGTTTTTCAAGATTATGAGATATTTTCGTATGCAGGTTCTCGGTTGACAAATTTTGTAGGGATACTTAGCTAGGGACTAAGAATAGCTCCCCCAGAAGCCCCAGAGACTGGCTACATGGCTGCATACAGGTCATACACATTTCTTTTGCAAGACTAACAATTGTAGCACTTTTGTCTTCCAATTTGACAAGGGGATTTACTTTGCTGATTTGGTCAGCAAGACTGCTCAGTATTGCTTTACTGAGAGAAAAAATCCAGTGGGCCTCGTGCATCTTAGTGAAGTTGCTTTGGAAAGAAAGTACCTAAGAAGTCTGACTTTGTAAAGTGGAAGGATGATTTTGTTGTACCTTGTGGCAAACCAGTTCAATCCAATGTGAAGGAATATGAACTGATGTACAATGAGTACATTGTTTATAATACTGCTCAAGTAAGTTAAAAGATCTTTTTCTCTACGTAGATAGATAAATAAAAGTCTTGTTTAACGCACGAAAATGAATTAGAACTTTGGTACTATTGCAATGTGCTTTGCACATGTCCATGTGGAGCTGATTAGACATGTGTTATTATCATTACAACCTATGTTATCTGGATTCGGGGGTAAGCAGTAGAATTGGGTATGCTTAATTTTTCTGAAAGGTTTTTTCTACATATTTGGAAGATCATTCTTATAACCATTTATAGAGTATGTGTCACACACAGGTACTTTAGGAAGAAAAGTCCGTGTAACATAGCTTATCACTGCTGCTGCACCTGCTCCTAATAATGTCATTGCTATTGATACTGAAAATTTGGCAGTGGTTTGCACTTATTGTCTGCAATATTGTTCATTTGGACAGGTTAAAATGCAGTTCTTGTTGAAAGTGAGGTTTCATCACAAGAGGTGAAGGAAGGTGACAGATGTTTATATTTTTACTTTGGTACAGGACAGATCTGTAAAATATTGAAACATAAACTGAAGTTTGTCTCGTTTTGGATTATCCGAAGCAAGGTCGAGTCTTGATAAGATGTAGTTTTGGGGCTAGCTTGGAGATCTTTAACTTGAGCTTGTTATGCACGTCAAAGCCTTCTGTAAGTAAAGGAAAAGCAGTTGCTACTTTAATCCATTTCTTCTTAAATTTCATCTTACATGGTGGAATGAAATGGTAGTGCACATACCATTGTTGGTAAAATAACTACAAAACTGAGGCCTTAGCATTTACTGAAAATTTTAGATAGATAAATTAACGGAAACAAAAACTGTGTCACGGATCCCTATATTCGGCAGGTTAAGTCGGTCGGAAATCCCTGCCTCTACCGAGAGCTGAAGGTTAGGTTAGATATCACCAGAAGGTAGTATTTGCTTATGGTCTCAGCATCCACCTATTAATGATATAGAAATGGTTAGTTTGCATCATTGCATGTGCATGGATGACTCTGTAAGTTGACTTGAACTATAAATGCTGATAACGTTGAGTGGCTAGAAATGATTTTGCATTTCTTTGCATATGAATCATAAGCCTGCTTGCTGGTGTGGTGCGGTGGCAGAAGCTTAGCTAGCAAGGAAGACCATATGACACAGCCATGTACGATATTTGATGCTAACAGCCATCATCCTCTGTTAGGGAGTGACGAGCTTTAAACCCATTAATGCTTTTTGGCCGCCACAACCACTCCATTTTTGCTATGTTTTAGGTTGATTGAGAGTTTTCCACGTCTGTTTATGGCTGATGCAAATAAATGCATAACTGTGACAATCCTCTGCATTAAGAGTTTTCTTTCTCAAACCTATTGATTGGTTTCAGAACTAAAAGAGAATATATTTTTTAAAAGATTCGAATTCAAACAGTTATTGCAGAGTGTGTATGAGTTGTCTATCATTGTTATCCATAACAAAAGAAAATGTTTTAGTTTGGCTTTGCTGCAAAGGGCTCTAGTTTTGACTCCTCCATCTTCGGCCCTGTTGATTCTTTAACTTGGCTTATCTATCTCTTTTTTTAATGTCTTAAAACACCATTAACCTACTGCACTAAAAGAAAGAAAAAAGTCGTAATTCACCTAGTGGTTGTCGGTTGGGTTTACCGGCTGGTAGCAATCACAAAGAGACAAACAGCAGCAGTTCCAACGTGTGGCGATCGGCGGAAAAATATAAAACAAATCAAAAGGAAAAGTTCCAACTTTCTACCAAAAAATCAACTTCAAATGTGTTAAACAAATGTTCAGATAATGTAAACCCAATTTTAAATCATATAGTAAAACATTAAATGAACAATCCCCATAGATCATTGTAGCATAAACCATTATTAAATGTTCTTCTCGAACCCTACATAAAGGCCTCCAATGTCCCCCATTCATCACTGTTTGTGCCTGCAACAGCCCTATTTTCACCTAGCCCCCCCTTCCACAAACCCCATTAATTTCAGCACCATTTCCTAGTGTACTCGTGTGCTTCGAAAGATCTTTAAGATTACTCCTCTGATCCCATCCCCTTTGTTTCTCTTTTATCTTTCTGACATGGCCTCCTCTGGTTCTGGCACTGGCTCCCTTGTGGTGCATGCAAGTTCCTGAGACGAAAATGCGCCTCTGAGTGTATATTTGCTCCTTATTTCTTCTCGGAACAAGGCCCCGCAAGGTTCGCCGCCATCCATAAAGTCTTCGGCATATCCCTGCTCATGATCGTTGTGAGGCGGTCGTCACCATTGCTTATGAGGGTCAAGCAAGGATTCGAGATCCTGTTTATGGTTACGTTGCTCATATTTTCGCCTTATAGAGACAAGTGATAACTAGATTCAAAGACAAATTCAAAGACTGAGGTAAGATTTTATGACAGGAGACCAACTTCTAGAATTTTTGTTTATCTAGCTTTAAGAACATTTCTAATATTTTTATGGGTTTGATTTCATACGTGGAGTATCTACAAGCTCAGTTAATGCAAGTGAAAGCCCAACTAGCTCAAAATGCTATGAATTCGCATCACTTAGTGTAGTAAAAACAGAAAAAGATAAAAGACATAATTTTCATTCAAGTAAAAACCTGTTTAAATACATCACAAATAACTAATAAACTGAAATTTCTACTCATATTTTCATGTACTGCCACTAACATAAAACAAGGCAACTACTTAACTAAAAAACAACA